TCTATCTATCTATCTATCTATCTATCTATCTATCTATCTATCTATCTATCTATCTATCTATCTATCTATCTATCTATCCACACATAAACATATATATGAGCTGCAGTGGCACACTGCAGAACTGCAGACGATTTCTGTTGCCTGCTGCCTGCCTGCAATTTGGCAGTTTGAATCTCACCAGGCTGAAGGATGAGTCAACCTTCCATCCTTCCGAGGTGGGTAAAGATTGTTGGGGGCAAATTTGCTGACTCTGTGCACTGCTTAGAGAGGGCAGTAAAGCACTGTGAAGTGGTATATGTATCTAAGTGCTATTGCTGTATTTGAAACGATACTTTCAGACACCGGGAACCAGATGTTGAAACTTGCAGGTCCCCTTGAGAGACACAGATACAGGTGGTTTCATTTTGCAAAATCTGTATACTGTGCTGCGCTGGCAGCAGCCAAACCGGTCCAACCTGCTCTGCCTATTTTATTGCTTCTGCCTGACTTGAGTTTCCATCCTACACTTTCACTTTTTACAATGTCCTAGTTCTGTTTCCTTTAGAGAGTTTTTATGGTTATGCAGGTTAGGTAAAATGTGAACCAGAGAATAACAGAGTTGGAAGGGACCTTGGAGGTCTTCTAGTCCAATCCCTTGCTTAGGCAGGAAACCCCATCAGAGACCGTGAACCTTTTTTGGCTCGCGTGCCAAAAGCGGGGGGGAGCACAGGGGGGGAGGGCTGTGCGCGGGTGTGCCACACGACCCCAGCGTGCATGCGTGCATGACCAGCACTCCACCCCCAATTTTTGGCATGCTTTTTCCGCCCTCCCCAGGCTCCAGAGGCTTTATAGAAGCCTGGAGAGGGCGAAAATAGCCTCCCATGCCTCCCCAGAGGCCCTCCTGAGGGTTGAAGAGCTTCCCTGAAGCCTCCGGAGCGCAAACAAAATGGTCCTATGGGCAAACCGGAAGTTCGGGAACAGACTTCCAGTTTGCTCGTAGGGCCGGTTTTAGCCCTCCGAAGCCTTCAGGGGCCTTCCGGAGGCTTCCCTGAATGCTCTGGAGGGCAAAAACCGACCCTACGAGCAAACTGGAAGTCCCTGAAGGCTCTGGAGGACTAAAAATGGCCCTACGGACAAACCCGAAGTGACTCTGGTTTGCTTGTGGGATGGGTTTTTGCCCTCCAGAGCCTTCAGGGACTTCCGGTTTGCTCGTAGGGTCGGTTTTTGCCCTCCAGAGCATTCAGGGAAGCCTCCGAAAGGCCCCTGAAGGCTTCGGAGGGCTAAAACCGGCCCTACGAGCAAACTGGAAGTCTGTTCCTGAACTTCCGGTTTGCCCATAGGACCATTTTGTTTGCGCTCCGGAGGCTTCAGGGAGGGGAAGGGAGGCTGTTTTTGCCCTCCCCAGGCTCCTATAAAGCCTCTAGCGCCTGGGGAGGGTGGAAAATGGCCTCAAAAGAAGGCTGAAGTCAGCTGGCCAGCGCACACATGCTCGCTGGCCAGCTGACAGGGCAACGTCTCGCGTGCCCTGACAAATGGCTCCGTCTGCCACCAGAGAAATGGTTGTCCAATCTCTTCTTAAAAACCTCCAGTGTTTTTGAGCAACCTCATGATAGTCTTGAACTTGCAACCCCAACCAGCATGACTAACGATGGTGGATGTGACAGTTGCCCTTTCCAGCTGAAGTCCACCAACGTATCTTTTGCACAGTTGCGTATCTGTGTGGTCACGTGGCATAATCATGACCATCTTTAAAAGCTGTGGCCCAAATTGGCTTGGCTTCAGTTGGGCGAAACAGCAAAATGTACCCTTTAGCTCAATATTGATAAATGGAAATGAGAAGAAGTATATCGTTGGTGCGTTCTGGTTGGGATGCCCAACTTCCTTTGCTGCTTTTCCGTCAGGTCTCCTAGCTGGAAAAGAAAATTGACTACCATTAGGAGGAATTTCCGTGAAACCAGCGTTTTGGAGATCTTCACTTGGAAATAGATTGGGTGGGCGGGTGGAAATGGCTCCTTGCTGATATGAATGGGCTGTGTCATTTTCTTGGAAACTTGGTCTTGGGTGGGGGGACATGACTATGAAAGGTGACTTTGAACACAGTTGACCCAACACATCAAGATGACCTCAGATTGAGAAAGATGTCATTTCATGAGACAGGAAAGCAAGCATGGCTACTGCAGAGGATGATGAACTAATAAAGGACTTGAAGACAATTCTTCAACTCAAGACAACTTCTAGCAATAGCAAGAGCACTTAGATTTATATACCGCTTCACAGGGCTTTGCAGCCCTCTCTAAGTGGTTTACAAAGTCAGCCTCTTGCCACCCATCAATCTGGGTCCTCATTTTACCGACCTCGGAAGGATGGAAGGCTGAGTCAACCTTGAGCTGATCAGGATCGAACTCCTGGCTGGGGGTAAAGTTATCCTGCAATACTGCATTCTAACCNAGCGGTTCTAATCTCACCGGCTCAAGGTTGACTCAGCCTTCCATCCTTCCGAGGTGGGTGAAATGAGGATCCAGACTGTGGGGGTGATATGCTGATTCTGTAAACCTCTTAGAGAGGGCTGAAAGCCCTATGAAGCGATATATAAGTCTAACTGCTATTGCTATTGCTACTTTATTTCCTAATTCCCAATCAGCAGAATTCCCTAATTCCTGCCCAACCTTCTCTTTTCTAGGGTCCAGTATTGGTTTGTCTCCGTGCCTAATGCCATCTTGATATGGGTCTACGATGAAATGCGCAAGTTATTCATCCGACGATATCCCGGAAGTAAGTGGCATAGCGTTTTAGGCACAATTTAAAGTCCTACACTTATTCCAATCCAAGCGAACATTGCTGAATCTGCAATTGTAGGTTAAATGCTCGCAATCACAGGCAATATCGCTCGTTGCTAAAAGGTTTCTTCAGGTCAGGAATTATTATTGTTATTATTTTGTCTTGGCCCCAGGAATTGCAAGCTAGTAAACCTGGCTCCACTTCACTTTCTAATAAAGGGTTCATTGGTTTGGAGAGAAGCCAAAGGCAGCATGAATCATTAAATTAGCCAGTTATAGTTTTAGATCTCTTGTCATTTCAAGAGAATTTAAAACTCTACAGATTAAAAGAGTTGGAAGGGACTTTGTAGGTCATCTAGCCCACCCCACCCCCCACCCAAACAGAAGACCCTACACCATTTCTGACAAATGGCAGTCTAATCCAGCTAACATCATCTCTGTAGATATGCAGAGAGCAAACCCCATTCTCATCTAGCACTGATGAAGTTACCTAGTTGGGTCGTGAGACGTCTGCAAGAAAACAATCAAGCTCCCAGAGAGTAGCAAAGACCCCACAATCCAACCCTGATACACAAATATTTTCCCCTGTTAATAGCATTCATTATGCCAACCAACCTGATTATTTTTTAAAAAAATGTTTATGTTTTCCTATTTTTTTCTCCTTTGACTATAGGCTGGTGGGATAAAAACATGTACTACTGAGAGTGATGGATGGTATACAACAGGGGCCTTTTTTGGGGGGGTCGCTCCTTCAAAGTTGTGTTTGTGCAATATCAATTGGTAGCAGGATCTCCTCCCTGGAGGGAAAGAAAAAAAAAAAAGAAGAGAAGGACCATGGGACTGTAAAAGAATTCACCTGGGATTACCAACTTGAATATTTCCCGTTTTTATTGCCCGATCCTTTAAGTGTTGAACATGTACGAAGTCTGAAGCCTCTTGTATATAGAGCGAAAGAAACCGAAGGATTGTCCTTCCCGTGACAGCAAAAAGGACGGCCTTCGAATTGCACTTTCTTCAAAGTTGTACTTTTTTCGTTCAGCGTGACCATGGCACCTCCTGCAAGCAATCCCAGCGGAAGCTCTCAGGTGTCGATCGCCTTGCGTGGCCCTGGATTGCAGTGTACAAATATAGTTTGATAATAAAAGCCTTTTTTATGGAAAAATCTCTGTTTTGTCATGCCTGGTTCCTTAACAGTTGGCAGAAGCTGGTGCAAAACTGAAGTTAATCAGTTCCCCCTGGAAGTGTCTGTGGGCTGTTTTTGGATGTGTATGTATATACCGGGGGTTGTAATATATATATATTACATATATTATATATTATATATATATATATTNCACATGGCTGGCAAGCCACTCCCACCAGGTCATATGGCCAGCAAGCCACACCCACAAAGGAGGCCACACCCACAGAGTAGGTTCCAAATTTTTTTGAAACCCATCACTGTCTCAAACTATCCTGAACTCTTCAACTATCAAATCCTACCCTTTTCGGGCATCTCTATGCTCAGAACTTGGAAGATCTCACCATTGACCCGAGACTTCTGTAAACAAACAAATGTTCAGTTGCTCTTTCTGTTGCCTGCTCTAAAGAAAGAGTCATAACTTTTATTTGGCAATAATGTTGGGTGGCATTTATTTATAAGACTGTGCTAAACCAAGCAGAGCAAAGCAAATACGTAAACTTAATTACTAATTGGCCACCCACTTACTTCTTTTTAAGATACGAGCTTTGAGTTGCTTAAGTTGCTTCTATAAATTGATTCCACTGTGTTGTTTTTAACTGTATATTGCTGACATAAGTGCTGTGCTGGCTATTTTCTTGGACACACTTAACAAGATAATGTGTTTCACAAGGGATTAAACTCAACTTAGATATTGCTAAGTGCAGGTTAAAGAAAGCCGGCGAGGATCACACATACCTTGATCCATAAAATGTGATGATTATTAGAATATCGAACCCATTGGGATCCCCATATCGAAACAACTTACCTTATGTGCAGCCAGAACTGCGAAATAACATTTAACACAGCGCAGTCCTTAAACAAAATGATTTGGTTGAGATCTGCATACGTGGGACTGATTGGGGTAGATTGCAGGGGTGACACCGAAATATAATTTTATCATATTTTATCTATATCTTAAATTATTGTATTCTATTCAAATTTCATTTTAGACTTTATTTTATTCCAATTCCATTTTAAGTCGTTTTTTTTTTTTTTCAAATTCCATTTTATATTGCTTTTCTCAAATTTTAGTAATAATTTGTTTCTGGAACTTTGTGCTTTGATATGGCCCAAGGGCTAATCAATAAAGACTCCATGTCAATATTAGAATATCATTTTTCCCCACTATTAATATAATTTGCTTTGTGGATTCTCGCTTGAATCTAGGCTTCTGTCATTTGCATCTACCAGAAGAGGAATTTCCAGAGAACTACACATTCAACACTGATTCCATGAACTTTCCCACCAATGGTCTTTGTTTCGTGGGACTCATGTCAATGATTGACCCTCCTCGATCTACTGTTCCAGATGCTGTAATAAAATGCCGTAGTGCTGGGATCAAGGTAGGTTCTCCCCACCCCCCACCCCAAGTAACAAAGGACAACAATTTCCAAATCTTCAGAGCAATAATACCTGGGAACAAAGGAAGCTCCAAAACAAGCACAATTTCAAAACTCAACAATCCCATCCGCACACACATACATACACCATCTTAAATATTATGACAATACAAAAGGATAATTCATTGTAGATCTTTCATATCTACTTTCTCAAAGCTCCAAAAACAAGCACAATTTCAAAACTCAACAATCCTATCCATCCACCCACCCACCCATCCATCCATCCATCCATCCATCCATCCATCCATCCATCCATCCATCCATCCATCCACCATCTTAAATATTATGACAATACAAAAGGACAATTCGTTGTAGATCTTTGATACCCAATTTCCCAAAGGTTGTTTTTTTTTTCAAAAGACAACTGGGCATTCTTCGTTTTTGCTTGAAGACAATACGCTTCTCATCCAAGAAGCTCCTTCAGTTCTGGGAGAAGCGAAACATCTTCAAGCAAAAAAACCAAAATGAATCCAACTGCCTTTTGAACAGTTTGGGATAACCAAGCTAAATGAACGAATCACCGTAGACATTCATACTCAATGGCTTTTTCCTACTTGATGCTGAAATTTTCTCTCTGAAAAGGAATGGGATACCCAAAGTCGCGACCAGTAGCAGATGGTCTATTTTAGTGGACTATTTTAGTGGACCTGGAGAATATTTAGGAGAGACACCCCTTGGAATGATTTTTTTCCCACCATTAATCCATTCTACAGGTAATAATGGTGACAGGGGACCACCCTATTACAGCGAAAGCCATTGCTAAAAGTGTGGGGATCATCTCGGCTACCAGTGAGACAGTGGAAGACATCGCTAAGCGCCTCAACATTCCTGTTGAACAGGTGAACAAACGGTAAGGATGGCATGGAAATGGATGGGAGAAGGTAACCTCTCCTTCCACAGTCTTGGAAGGGTATGTGAAAATCATCTTGGGAGAAAGAAGGAAGAGCTGCTGGTTAAACAATAGTCTGATAAGAAGCAGCTGAGCCCACAGAAAGAAGAGGGACATGGTAAACATGTCAGAGAATGGGATGCGGTGGCTCAGTGGCTAAGATGCTGAGCTTGTCGATCAGAAAGGTCAGCAGTTTGGGGGTTCGAATCCCTAGTGCCAAGTAATGGAGTGAGCTCCAATTATTTGTCCCAGCTTCTGCCAACCTAGCAGTTCGAAAGCATGTAAAAATGCAAGTAGAAAAATAGGAACCACCTTTGGTGGGAAGGTAATCCGTGCGCCTTTGGCATTTAGTCATGCCGGCCACATGACCACGGAGACATCTTCGAACAGCACTGGCTCTTTGGCTTTGAAACGGAGATGAGCACCACCTCCTAGAGTCTGGAATGACTAGCACATATGTGCGAGGGGAACCTTTACCTTTACTAATCACTAGGTGTTGA